CTTAGAATCATCAAACTTTGTCAGTTGATGCATCTTGGGTTTTCGGAAAACGTCGACCAAAAAGTAGGTCACCAAGACCAACTATTGACATTTTATGGCGAATTATAAGTATCTCTTAGGTACTTATTGGCCTAGAATTGTTAAACTTTGTCAGTTGAGGCATCTTGGGTTTTCGGAGAATGTCCATTAAGAATTAGGTCACATTGATCTTCTTTCGAATATCTCAGGTAATTTATAAGCTTAGAATCATCAAACTTTGTCAGTTTATGCATCTTAGGTTTTCGGAGAACATCGTCCAAAAAGTATGTCACAGTGACCTACTTGTGACAATTTATGGCTATATCTAAGTATCTTGGATACTTATTGGCTTAGAATCATCAAACTTAAGTGTCAGTTGATGCATCTTGGGTTCTCGGAGAATGTCGAAAAAAAAAGTATGTCACATTGACATACTTTTGAATATCTCAGGTACATGTGACATTTTAAGGCTCTACGTAAGTGTCTTTGGTAATTATTGGCTTAGAATCATTAAAACTTTGTTCGTTGATGCATGCATCTTGGGTTTTCAGAGAATGTCGAACAAAAAGTAGGTCATGGTGACCTTTTGAATATCTCAGGTACTTATTGGCTTAGAATCATCAATCTTTGTTAATAAACACATCTTGATTTCTCAGAAAATTTCAGGTCACAGTGACCTACATATCCTTATGGTATTTTATAGATACATGTATATTGAAGTACTGTATAGGGGGAAAATAACTTGCGGTGTTTATATTCGCTATATTCACGGTGTTCATAAATCCGTGAATTCAAGAAACAGTGAATAAATTTTCAATAATCTCCATGTTTTTATTTTGAAATTTGAGAAAAGTACGATAGGTTTATATACATGTACGTGCAGTACATGGTCATTTCAGTAATTACGAGTAGTACTTTTCATTCAATTATTTTACTTATCACGCTTTACTTTAATTCTTATCAGCAGATAATAACCTATTTTTGTTAAAAAGCTGTTTTAATAGTCAATGCTACATGTTTCATCAATCAAAACACGTGGGCCATAGTTTTAATTACCCGTGCGTAACTAATGTTACCAAGTTACCTGCATTAACACACATTTTAATTCTTATCGACATTTTAAAAAAATTCAAATAATTATTATCAAACTTACTGAAGATTTTGGAAGGATATTATTTCGATGACCTACATTAACACATTTATTACCGCCCAGTGGTTTTTCGCCTCTAGGGGTGTACATGCACTCATCGTAATATGCATATAGGAAAGTCATTAGACGTTTAAAGTCAAGGACGTTTTATAAACTGCACTTGTTTTAATTAATCGTCAATTATTTATTAAATCTAACAATTTTATATTATTCTACCCTGTTGATGTTATTTACATGTAGCTAAACGGGATATAGACAAGGGAGGTAAGTTTTATTTTATATTAATTCCGCGAATTCAAGAAACGGCGATCGTGTCAGATGAAAGAAAAACGTGAAAATTGCAACCCGTGAAATTAATCCCCCATACAGTATCTTCAGTCCTAACTGGCTAAGAATCATCAAACGCTGTCAGTTGATGCATCTTGGGTTTTATTAACTTATAGTTAGAAGCTTCAAATAGAAATGATAGATTGTACAATTTATCAGAAGAGCGATTCAAGGCCCTCAATAGGCCACTTGTAATCTAATTGAAAGTATGATGTTATTTATATATACCCATTCTGTATCATATGTGTATTATCAAGTTAATGTGAATGCTAATAATTTGCTCACCTGAGCTGAAAGTTAAGTGAGCTTTTCTGATCACTTGTTGTCTGCTTCGTGGCGGTCTTTAAACTTTCCACATTTTCAACTTTTTCTCAAGACCCACTGGACCAATTTTAACCAATCTTGGTACATACCACCCTTGGATGAAGGGGGGTTTAAATTGTAAAAATTAAAATGAAGGGTCAAGTCTCCCCATAAGGAGCATACATGTGATATGTACCGGCGGTACACAAAATGTCAGTATTTTCGACCCATTCACGGGCTCACGGGGGTACACCAAAATTCACGGGAAATGAAAATGTGTACCGTATTTTGAAATGTTTACCGGAAACCGCCATTTTTCTTTCATTCCCGCTCTCGCAACACCGGAAATGTAGAAGTACGCGTGAATTACTGCGCTTGATTACTGTAAACAAAACATCATGAAGGAAGGTGTGAAATATTTCCGTGATAATTACATTGTAATTAGGAGATATCAAAGCGTTTTGTTTGGCTGATTGCTTTTTAATAGGACCTTTATCAAGGATTTGTTTAAACTGTAATTTATTAAAACTAAAGAAATAAAAAAAAAAAACGCCATTGACAAGAATTGGAGACACTTTGTGACAGCAAAACGAAATTTAGTCCATTATTTGGATAGGCATACATATTTTCTATTCAAACATAGATTAAGAGAAATGTTTTTTTAGTACAATTTAAAAATTACAGCTGAATGGAGACGACCAGACTCGTACAATAAACTGTTTTTAAACACTGTACTTTTTACTGAGTTCAGCATTTAGCATAATTGCCGAAATTCAAAATACTTGAATGGTTTCTCGAAGTGTTCAATAGTAAATCATAGTACATGTTATGCAGTGGTGCACCTGTACATTGATTTGAAATTTATTATTTAAAAAATAAACACCTTACATTGTTGTTTTGGTCGGTATTTTGATTAGCAGTGTACAGTATTTTCACCCAAATTCCAGTAATTTGAAGGCTGCTTTACAGTATTTTGGTCTAGAAATTATCATATGTATGAAGGAGATATAAGTCATAAACAAGAAAAGACAAAAATAGTGTGGGGACATTAAAAAGTCCTCTCAAGAACCTCGGGGCCTGAAATGCCAAAAGCTGAAACTAATGTGGAAGCATCCAGGGGTAGTGTATATAGGGATGTGCAATTTTAGCGGTATACCGGTATAACTCGATTTTTTGTTGCGTGATACGTATCGTGATACGGAGACCTAAGTACCGGTCTCTAAGTACATATTATAAAGTCCAGAAATTATTCATTTATTTGTTCAATCTTTCAAATTAAAATTACAGAGAGTATAAAAAATGTTGTAAAAAGTGAAAAGAACGGCATCTTACCGTCCTAACATAATTGATTTTATAAACATAAAAATTTCAAAAAAGTAAAATTTTCTTTTACTAGCATATTTTTTAGAAAAAAAATCAACTTTTCATATAAAATCATTGTAAAAACTGCTTTTAAAAATATCATGATATTATCGTGATATTGTGGGAAAAAATCGTGATATATCGCGATACGAAATTTTTGGCGATACCCATCCCTAGTAGTGTACAAATTAAATTAAATTGTTCAAATCATGACCCCTTGGAGATAGGGTGGGCCACAAGTTGATTTGCTAAAAAATAACTTGAAAATTGGCTATATCTGACATTTGGTACAAAATGATACATTTTTAAACATTTTAAACAATTTTTCTAAATTTTTTCTATCTCTGGGTCTTTTCTCCATTATTTTGAAACGTTGTTTGTGTGCATTTTAATTCAAAGAAATGAATATACATTCGTAAAAAATAGAAGACCCAGAGTCCAACAAAAATGAACTTTTTTATCAAATAAATCCAACTGTGTAAATACGGTGCTTTTTATTTTGTCTAAGACAAGGGATAAAGTATCGATCAATTTCAAAATTAAAGATTCTTAAATCTTGAACAAAATTTGGAACATTTTAATATAGTATCTTGAAAGAATAAGAAAAGAGAAAAGATTCAACTTTAAAAGAATATTTAAAGTATTTCTGAAAGAAGAATTCTGAATTCACTCTTCTTGGAAATTTGTACGAGGGTTGTCCCGTAAAATCGTGGACAAAGCGTTTTTCTCGAAAAGTAATGGGCGCACTAAGCTGAAATTTTCAGTAAATGTTTATTCATCATATTTAAGTGCATCATTATGTTTTTGATAATATATAGACAAAAATAAAGATTCTATTACGCCTGAATGTGCACAGGGTACGGTCCTACGGCGCACAGTAAAAATAATAAGGTTGTATTAGAGAATGCACAAGAATTAATTCGTAATAAAAGTTTTCAATACATAAGATCGGGATGAAAATTATCATGATTCGATTCCTTAATGAATTTTGTCGTATTTCTGAAAAAAAATCAAGGCATTTGGTTAATTTTTGGCAGATTCCCGACCATTCGAAATGGGAAAGTGGTAAACACAATACACGAAAAATCGCTGTTATTGATGACGTTACAGCGCACCGGCGAGCAGTTCAGTTAGATTAGGATGTTGTAATGACACCTTAAGCGATTTTAAATGAATACAGAAGAAAGAAAATATGACAAAAATCACCAGATCTTTAGTATATAAATGAAATGGAAGTTTTCTTAGCGAAGTCTTTTTGATTGAGTCCCCAGGTAGTACAAAATATACGGACAAACTGCTATTGTAATAGCAAAAGACGCTGTCATTGTCGACCGTTGATATGAGACTGTCTGTTTGTTGACTAATGGTGAGAATACTGTCCGTAACTTCATAATAAATCTTTAGAAGATCGCATGTATGTGCCAGATTGGTACCTTAACTGGTTATAGACACTCACGTATGTGAATCAATGGAATTTCTAAATTTAAGTGGGACTTATCCAACTTTATTTTTAGCAAAGATGAAACATGGCGCTGTTTCACACACTTTGACGTTATCATCCGTGCGCCGTAGGGCGATACAATGCATAACATAACATCTAATAATTTGTTTATTTATGTATATATCTATTTGTAATTTGCTCTGTATATTCATAATATATGTAATAAATAGTAGTGAAAATTTCAGAAGGCAGTGATTATTATTTTTCAAACTAGACAACTTGTCCATGATTTTACGGGACAACCCTCGTATTTACAGTATCCGTTTATTATAAGTAGGTATGCATTAATTGTTTTGCATATTCTGGGAATAGTTTCTAATATTTTTGCCTTCCCTGCAGGTATGATGGGCGAGGTCACTTATATGACCTTAAGCCATATGACTCTAGTCATGCCCAGCCCTGTGTACTGACCCCAGAGGAGAAGAAATTGGAGGAGCTGTGTGACGAGGAGAGATATCTAGAGCTTCATACAGATGTAGCTGAAAAGAAGTTACATGAGGGTATGTTTTGTGAGTGAATATGTTTGTGTGATTATCTTAATGTCCTGAGTATTGGCCGCACTTTTTTTCGTCAGAAAATTGTACAAAAGTAGGGGTGCGCTCAATACGTAGGAACAAAATTCAACCCCCTTTTTAGCTCTACTGGTCAGAGACCAGAAGAGCTTATGCAATAGTAATGCGTATGGCGTCCGTCCGTCTAGCTGTCTGTCTGTCTGTCTGTAAATAATTTTTTAAAATGCTACTCCTCCTACAGTTTTGGTTTGATTTTAATATAACTTTGCACAGAAGTAGACTACACTAAGATACATAATTCTGTGTATCGGTTTTTAGCTCTACTGGTCAGAGACCAGAAGAGCTTATGCGATAGTAATGCGTCCGGCGTCCGTCCGTCTGTCTGTCTGTCTGTCCGTCTGTCTGTAAACAATTTTTCAAAATGCTACTCCTCCTACAGTTTTGGTCTGATTTTATTATAACTTGGCACACAAGTAGACTACACTAAGATACATAAAATAGTGCATCGGTTTTTGATTTTGATGAACGATGTTGCCATGGTTACTAAAAATAGAAATTTCTGTGAAATTCCTTTAAAACGCTACTCCTCCTACAGTTTTGGTCTGATTTCAATATTACTTGGCACACAAGTAGACTACACTAAGATGCATAGAATAGTGCATCGGTTTTTGATTTTGATGAACAAGGTTGCCATGGTTACTAAAAATAGAATTTTCTGTGAAATTCCTTTAAAACGCTACTCCTCCTACAGTTTTGGTCTGATTTCCATATTTCTTGGCACACAAGTAGACTACTCTAAGATACATAAAATAGTGCATCGAATTTTGATTTCGATGAATGGTGTTGCCATGGTTACTAAAAATTGAATTTTCTGCGAAATAACTTTAAAACGCTACTCCTTCTACAGTTTTGGTCTGATTTCAATATTACTTGGCACACAAGTAGACTACACTGAGATACATAGAATAGTGCATCGGTTTTTGATTTTGATGAACGGTGTTGCCATGAACACTAAAAATAGAATTTTCTGTGAAATTCCTTTAAAACGCTACTCCTTCTACAGTTTTGGTCTGATTTCAATATTACGTAACACACAAGTAGACTACACTAAGATACATAAAATAGTGCATTTGTTTTTGATTTCGATGAACGATGTTGCCATGGGTACTAAAAATAGAATTTTCTTTGAAATTCCTTTAAAACGCTACTCCTTCTACAGTTTTGGTCTGATTTCAATATAACTTGGCACACAAGAAGGCTACACTAAGATACATAGAATAGTGCATCAGTTTTTGATTTCGATGAACAGTGTTGCCATGGTTACTGAAAATAGAATTTTCTGTGAAATTCCTTTAAAACGCTATTCCTTCTACAATTTTTGTCTGATTTCAATATAACTTTGCACACAAGTAGACTACACTAAGGTAAATAAAATAGTGCATCGGTTTTTGATTTCGATGAACGGTGTTGCCTTTGTTACTGAAGATAGAAATATCCGTGAAATTCCTTTAAAACGCTACTTCTTCTACAGTTTTGGTCTGATGGCAATGACTTCTTTTCTCATCCTTTGTTATAAGTACAAACCAGTAGAGCTACAGTCTCGACAGAGACTTCTGGTTTGATTTGGATGAACGGTGTTGCCGTGGTTACTAAAAATAGACATTTCTTTGAAATTCTTTCAAAATGCTACTCCTGCTGTTTTGGTTTGATTTTAATATAACTTGGCATACAAGTAGACTACACTAAGATACATAACTCTGTATATCGGTTTTTGATTTGGATGAACGGTGTTGCCGTGGTTACTAAAAATAGAAATTTCTTTGAAATTCTTTCAAAATGCTATGTCTCCTACAATTTTGGTCTGATTTCAATATTACTTGGCACACAAGTAGATTACACTAAAATGCATAATTCTCATTATCGGTTTTTGATTTGGATGAACGGTGTTGCAGTAGTTACTAAAAATAGAAATTTCTGTGAAATCTTTCAAAATGCTACGGCTCCTTCAGTTTTGGTCTGATTTCAATATAACTTGGCACACAAGTAGACTACACTATAATACATAATTCTGCCTATCAGTTTTTGACTTCGATGAATATTATTGCCTTGGTTACTAAAAATAGAAATTTCTGTTAAATACTCTCAAAATGCTAATCCAAATACAGTTTAAGTCTGATTATAATATAATGTGGCATGCAAGTAGACTACACTAAGAACATAAAGAGGCTTAATCAAGGATCATTATTCTATTTATTGCTGTTGTAAAGTTTCAATTCCCAACTGCTTAAGTACTTTTCTCTTCCTTTGCCATAAGTACAAACCAGTAGAGTTTCAGTCTCGACAGAGACTTCTGGTTTACGTGCAAACTGACACGTGCTTGGTATACATGCAAAACTTCATAACACACTTGGGATTAATTTAAAAAGGAAATAATCAGGTATTATTATCTCTAATTAGATAATTATTAAAAAGATAAAATTCAGATATCACACATGCACACTTTAGATACATCGGGTAAAAAAAAAAAGACGTGCTAATAATGTTTGCGGTGCAAAAAATTTCTATTTGAAGTTACTGTACTAGAAAAAGTAAAGTCACATCCATTTATACATTGGACCTGCATTTTTTTCAGGATTTTCACCCCAACTTTGGGGGTGCGTCTTTTACATCATTGTGGCCAATACACAAGATTTTACAGTAAGAAAAGGGGGATATTTATTTTTTTTTTAATAAAAGATTCTAATGCATATTTTGATTGTACTATAGAGGAGGAATGGAAGCGATATTACCAGTCTCTCTCGGAGGGGTATGGAGCAGTAGGATTCAGCTATGAACAGCAGCAGCAGGATGAATATGCAGAATACTATCAAGGTAGAGTTCACTTCAATTTTAAAATCTAGAAAAAGAAGAATAACATGATAATTAAGTTGTCCTCAAATTGGACTACTCTCTAAAGCTAAAATATGAAGGTCACCTTAGTCACCCTGGCTTAAAGGACCTGTTGATATTCATTTGTCATTTTGATCTGGCATTATCCATTTTACTTAAACTTTTTACATATTTGACCTGAACTTGCCAAGTGGTTCCACTGGTTGCTCATACCACTTCGCAAATTTATTCAAACTTTTTACCAAAAAAACCTTGATATTTATCCTTGTATTTATGTATATTCTCATATTGTATATGTATTTCAATAAACTACAAATAACAGGGCTTTAAAATGAGAAATTATATGAAATGAAGATATCCTTTTGTAGCTTAAACTTACATTTCTCGGAAATTTCTCTGAGGATCAAGAGGTAAAACTCCACGGCTCAGATTTTACAATTGGATGGTTTAAAAAGAATCATTATATGGTTAGGATGGATTGTTGAAATGTTCTCATGTTTAGAAAACAAATTACTTCATACATGTAATATTAAATATTTCAGCCATTTCAGAAGAGGAAAAACCTTTCTCAGCTCCATCTGAATTGAATCTTCCAGAGGATATTACCCCAGTAAGGTTTAATAGTACAAGAGTTATCAGAATTCTTTAGTCTTGTTGGAGGAAGAGCTTGAAACTTGACTTTTGACTTCATAAGTTAACAAGAGGCCCAAGTTCCACATCACCTGAACAATGTGGTTAGGAACAGGAAAAAATCAATTCAGTAAATGCATAAATTGTCCTGACCCTTAAAGGAAGGAATGATTTGAACAAATTTAAGGTAATTCTATACTCGGCAATAAATAGGCTCAATCTTGGAAAATCTGTGTGACATAAATTTCAGCAATGGAAATACATCAGAAAAATCAAAATGACTTTACTGTACCAGTCTCCAGAAAAACGTGCTAAAATGTAGGCAACTTCAGTATAAAAAAGTCTTTTTGACCCCAAAATTGAATTCTACGCTTAAAAGTTTAGTTTAAAACTTTGTTTTTAAACACAACTAATGAAGGCTGGTAACAAGGTCGAAATATCTCAAAAAGTGTTTGAAAGTTTTTTATTCTATTGACAAAAAGAGACTTTGGATAAATATAATATATAAATATTGTTTATTCAATAAACAAAGAATAGTTCTGAACGAAGCATGTGCAGTGCATGCTTAGTGTCATTTCTTTTGGACTTAGCCATTCTTCCATGTAAACAAACCAACGAAATGCTATTGAAGCTGAATTATGATCTTGCAAATATTACAGAAGCATATGAATTTCTTAACTTATCTAAAACATCGAGTCACTAACCCTAATTTCTCGGATGATATGCAAGGACAAAGACGTTTAGACGAAATCTTGCGGGCAGATGCTAGACTAACCCTAATCTGTTGAATAATGTGTGAGGACTATCCCTAATCTCTCAGATGGATGCAAGACTAACCTTAATCAATAGAATACTTGTGCAAGGACTAACCCTAATCTCTCAGGTGGGTGCAAGACGAACCCTAATCGGTCGAAAAGTGTGCAAGTTTAAACCTTATCAGTTGAGTGATGTAAATGTTATGTCATAGTCCAATGAGGATCTTGCGGGTCTGGGGACCAGTAAAAGTCTTTTTGAAAAATGTATGTGACATTTATTTTTCCCCTATTGCCTCCCTGACTACATACCCCGAAATGCAAAATATTGAAAATGGACCTGGCCACAAAGAAGGAAAGCCACGAAAGGGCATAATCGGCGTATACTTTTCAGGAAAATTTAACTGAAGTAAACCAGAAAAATAACGGTGTAAATATTATCTACTAGTATCAAACTTAAAAGGTTAACGTCACATTTTTTATTTGATGAAATCATATTTGTGCAGTAAACATCTAAACACGTGCACTTTGCTAATTTTTAGCAAAAATTAACAATTTTTTTTACATCTTTAATTCAAAATTTGACCCTGGCCACACCCTACAAACAAAATAAAATTTATGTCATTAAAGAGAGGATATAAAAATTAATACAAAGAGCATACTGTTTGTCGGGTGTGGCCACATTGAAAACTTAACTTTTCCTTCCACGCGAAACATCTGAAAACAGATCAGCAAAGCGTATTTTTGGGAATATATTTCATTTTAATATCAAAGATGTAGGCCTTTCAACTACCGCTAGGGGTCGGTGTTATGAAGGATAACTCACTGCTTAAACTTGTTTAGAGCAGGCTGGGAGTATCTAACTGTGTACACGCGAGGCAGTTTTTAGCATTTCCCAAGTGTTTCTTTGCTCTCAGTAGAATCCAGTGGTTTGAAAATTTAGCACCAATGTTAAACTTATTTACTGTATAGTTGCGGAGACCGTTTAACTACATATAATTAAAATTTTTAATTAAAATAAAAAGTGAAATCTACCCTCCTTCTTAGTTCTAACCTAATTAAATTTTTATACTCGGTTGTTTCCCTTCGTGCTTAGTAACACAAATAAGATGATCAATTGTTGCATTTACTTGTAAAAATATATACACATGTATATTTATATAGGAAGCGCAAAAGCGCGAACACAAAAAACATTACTTTAAATTTTCTTCTTCATAATAATCGTCAAAGAGAGTTAGGAAGCGCAAAAGCGCAAACACAATAAACATTACTTTAAATTTTCTTCTTCATAATAATCGTCAAAGAGAGTTAAAATATTGAATATAGTCTGTTTCCCATTCATTTGACCCTTTGATTTCAGGTAGAGTGAAGGCATTCTCTTTCTCATGGTCAACACTTTTGTGTACAAAACAATGTAAGGAACCAGTTACCCTTTTGTGTACATAACAATACCAATGCTGAAGCAGTCTATATATCATTCCTATAAACGATAACTCAAAAATCAGCACTTAGTTGGTCATTTTCCACACCTGAGTTACCTGTCCTTAAAACACAACATCAAAAAAGTCAATCATAAATGATCAAATTTTTTAATGATGTAATTAAAAGTATGCACAAGTTATTATCTTTTCTGATAATTTCATGTACCTATAAATCTATCTATACAATGTTTTTCACCATATGTGCAACTTGAAAAATTAGTTGAAAGGCCTAAAAGATGATGATTTCTTTTGCTTCTTATTAGAAAAAAGGTATCAAAATGCAATTGTCTGATTTAAAATATTTGTTGTAATGAGAAAAGAATATAGAAAACGAAAACCATTTACTAAACAAAATATTAAGTCTACAGCATGCAGAAATGTTGACTATTTTGTACCCTCGGTTCTGACCCCAGACTTGACAAAGCTGATCTAAATTGAAATTAAATTAGTTAAAAAAATATGCACCGTACCAATAGCGTACTAAAAATTAATTACTATCTGCACATTGAAACAAATGATTTTGATATCTATAGTGATTTTTAGGTCACCTGAGTAAAACAGTAAACTCAGGTGACCTACTGCTATCCGTTTTCGTCTGTCGTCGTGCAGTGTGCATCATGCGTCCTATGTTAACATTTGAACATTTTCAGCTTCTTTTCTGCAACCGCTCAACCAATTTCAACCAATTTTGGCATAAAGCATCTATGGGTCAAGGGGAACAAAATTTTTGAATTTCATGGTCCCTGCCCCCCTGGGGCCTGAGAGGTGGGGCCAAAACCACTAAAATTAGTGCAATCTTTAAAAATCTTCTTCTTTACTCCTGGATATCAAGCAGTCAAACTGTTGGCATGATTGTAATGAGCATTGACTCCTCTACCAAAACTGTGAAAGTCATGGCCCCAGGGTCAGGGGTTCTGGTGTTAGGGCGAGCTCTGTTGATTATATAGTGAAAATGCATTAATTCTTAGAAAATCTTCTTCTCTGCTTCTGGGTATGAAATTGACTAAGTACATAGTTAATATGATGAGCAAGAGTGCCTCTACCAAAATTGTGAATTTTATGGCCCCAGGGTCAGGAATTCTGGTGTTAGGGCGGGGCTCTATCGATTTTATAGTGAAATGCATTATTTCTTTGAAAATCTCCTCTACTTCTGGGTATTAAATAAACAAAGTACATAGTTTTGATAAGCAAGAGTGCCTCTACCAAAATTGTGAATTTTATGGCCCCAGGGTCAGGGGTTCTGGTGTTAGGGCAGGGCTCTATTGATTTTATTAGCTCTTCTGAGCCAAAGGCTCAAAGAGCTATTGCTATGGCCATTTGTGAGGTGTGAGGTGCACGTAAACTTTTTAGTATATGGGCTATAACTCAAGAACCCCTTGGCCAATCAGTGTCAAATTTGTCACCGGGTATCCTTGGCCCAAGGGCTACCATTCATACTAAAATAAGGGTTTTGACCCTTAGACAAGGGGAGATAATCAGGAAAACAAAACCAAAATTACTGGTTGCTAAAAAATCTTCTTCTCCAGAACCACCAGGCAGATTTTCACCAGACTTACATACAAGGATCAGGATATGTCGAAGAATAAAATTTGCATGCAGAATTACCCTGGGGCAAAGGACATGGTCTCAAGATCACTTCAAAGTTGACCTAAATTTACATTTAATAAAAACATTTATATTTTGCTTACTATAAGGACTTGTAAGTTGATGTTAGGATTTCACATCATGTCAACTCAAAAGTAGGTCATGGTGACCTACTTTTTAGCTCTTCTGAGCCAAAGGCTCAAAGAGCTAATGCTATGGCCATTTGTGCGGTGTGCATAAACTGTTTAGAATATGGGCCATAACTCAAGAACCCCTTGGCCAATCAGTACCAAATTTGTCACAGGGTATCCTTGGCCCAAGGGCTACCATTTATGCTAAAATAAGGGTTGGGACCCTTAAACAAGGGGAGATAATCAGGAAAACAAAACCAAAAGTACTGGTTGCTAAAAAATCTTCTTCTCCATAACCACCAGGCAGATTTTCACCAAACTTGCATACAAGGATCAGGATATGTCGAAGATTAAAAGAATGGAGGCGTACAAGGCGAGGACAATCCCCCGCTCTGAAAAATCTAAAAGTTGTATTTTTTCAAAATTTTATGGTTTATATAATCTTTTACACATCAAATTCTGTATTTCATTGTTTAAATAATTTATCAATAATTTATTTTTCACGCATGTTTTTAAGACATTTGAAAACAAAAAAGAAAAAGCTTCACGTATGATTCGAACTCTCTCCATAGCGCAGGTTTGGTCTTGGGTTCAGATTCCATTTTTTGGACAAATGAAATAGATTTCACATTTACGTTTCCATCTTTTAAGCGTTCACGAAAAATGGAGACTTGACCATTCATGTTCAAAATTCGTTTTTTATAGCTCTATTAAACCCATTTTCCACTAAATATGTTGAACTGTCAACTTTGAAATAAATATTATCAAATGATAAGTCGTTCAGTAAAATAAAATAATAACATGTTTTGAAGAGGACATTACTGAGAACATGATTTTAGAAAAATATAACTTTTCTGTGAATTTTGAAAATTGAGAAACATTTTGTCCTAGAGCGGGGGATTGTACATGCCTTATACGCCCTCTTTCTTTGCACGGGGAATTACCCTGGGGCAAAGGGCGTGGTCTCAAGGTCACTTCAAAGTTGACCTAAATGTACAATTAATAAAAACGTGTATATTTTGCTTACTATAA